ACGGATTAACGGATCCCCCTCTCCCCCCCTCACTTCCCCAGGACAGGTTCCGATTACGAGGCTCTCGGCCACCCAAATCGTCTTGACCTTTACGTAAATTCGCGCGCGACTAGAAAGGATAAACGCGTCATCTAGCAAATATGTCTCGGGCGGCTTAGCGTCACAGTGGTTATTATTGCCAAAAGTCGTCACAAAGCGACACACCGTATCGAATCGAAGGACGACCGTTATTCAGGATTAAGGTTTATCGAGAAGAAGGGAAAAAAATCTAAACGCCGCCCGCTCGTAAAGCCGTGATCCTCGCGCGACCGACCGAGGCCCTTTTCCTTTCGGATAATCCGACACCTCAATTCGCCTAATACTCTCTCTCTCTCTCTCTCTCTCTCTCTCTCTCTCTCTCTCTCTCTCTCTCTCTCTCTCTCTCTATCTCTCTCCCGTTCCCAACGCCCGACTGATATCTAATTTGTTTTCGCGACGAGAAGCGAGGGGCCGCGTCATTTTCGTACCGTCACGTACCCGGCGATCCCGCCGCGACGGGAATCGGACACGAGCGCCGAATGAGAATCGATGCGACGGTCCAATCGACGGGCTCAAGGGTCGCAGTATGTTTCCTCGTGGAACGTAAAAGGCGACGGGCGCGCTCGCTAATTGCGGCCGGTTTCACCTTTCATCAGCAGGGGGCAACGAGCCCCTATCAGACGTCGGGCGACAACTACGACGACGACCGATGATTATTATGGCGACGTAGGCGAAACCACGCCGAGGGGGGGGAGGGAGAGGGGCGAGCGGGACGGACGTCGCGTCGCAGAAAATCAACGTTGATGCGCGCGCTGATGTTGAGCGATTCTATGAGAACAAACGACTTGCGCGCGAGAGCGATTATCAAAAACGACTCCCCGTCGTGTCCCCCCCGTGTCGCCGCTTGATCGCCCGCGTGACTCGAATCTCACGAGCCGACGAGCCCGAGTGACAGCGGCCGTTGCGCGACGCAACGAGTTCTTTATCAAAAGTGTCATATTAACCTAATTGATAATGCGCGCGTCTTCCGTTGCATCGTCAATAACCGGCGCGATACGGCGATCGTAAAAATGTGTGACGGGACGAAGGCCTCCCCTCCCCCTTCTCCTCCGCCGGTCTCTATTTACAGGCGCGCTCTCGCCGAAAGCCAAAAAGGAGAACGATCGGAATCTGCGTATAAACGATGTATAAGAGACTCGACGCACTTCTCGCTCCGCGCTCTCGCATCCGAGCGATTTCGCTTCCATCTGCGCGCGCGATCTCCTCTCTCTTCCACCTTGTCTCTCTCATCCGCCCATCTATTCTTATTCCCGGCGCGCTCGCGCGCGCATTATGCCCGATCATTACGTATGCTAATATTTACATTTAGATTGCACGACTTAATCGAAGTGACGCCATACGGTAATATAGCCGGCGCCACGGCGCTAAACCGCCGC